GATGTTACATACTTGTTTATTATAACAACCTACTTTCATTCAATCATGTTACAACATTGTACCTTGTAAAGCTAAAAAAGTCAAACAATAAGTAAGCAACCTACTTTTCATTCTATTAACTACGTCATTGCACATCAGATACAAAGACCAAGAAACCATCATTGAAAAAAAAAGAATAACGAAAAATCAGTTTAAGCACCTTCATCAAGTACTTGCATACGGAACCTCAAAACGCAAATCACTTATATGTCATTTACAACAACTAACATTTGAACTTCAATGGTGAAAAATTAGTCATTCCAGCATGATACACACACTTAGACACACAGACAAACACTAATACACATACTGCTTATGATTGTAACTTTAGTCCAAAAATAAGCACATGACACTTTTTTACTGTAAGCCTAATTAAATGTGTTTCAATAAAAAAAGTACATGGAGAACCCTAACAAAAGAAACTTGTACAATTTTTAAGTTATTTATGTTTATTTCAACATACATCTACAACATAAAGGGGCATGTTAAAAGAAAAATCACTATACTTGTAAAGCCAATCTTTCTACTTGATGAAATTGGATTACCTAGATAGAAAAATATTAAAAAAGAGTTAGATAGATTTGTCAACTTGTAAATTGATCAATATACTGAAGGGGGCAAAAATTGAAGCAACATACCATATTTTTAAAATGAACAAAATACAGATAGAAAGAGGGAGACTTGGTTAAAGTTTATACACAAATGGACAGAAACTGAAGCAATAAAAAATGAAACATTGACATTAAATTGCAACCTCTTCCCCCTGATCAGATGCTTCCCTCGACTAAAAAAGTAAAAATAACCAGCTTGTTCATGGATCTGCATATTGAAGCAACAAAATATAACTTATACATCAAATCGAAGAACCCAATAACACAATAGCAAGAAATATTCAAAATTAAGTTAACTGAACACTTGATCAAGATAATCTACTATGTGGCCTTCATGAACAAAATCCCAAATCCCCTTTCCTACTCAATCATAAAAGGATCGTCGTCTTTTTTTTTAACTCAAATTAGATTGCTTTGTTCATTTGTCCCACTACAAACCTCATTGGTCTTATAAACATTTCGATTTTACATTGCACAGAGCTACAGTGCTATCAAATTTCACCAACTCCTCTGCACCATGATTATTCAAAATAATTCTCAAAAATTTCAAATTACACAATGTTATTATCACTTAGAATAAATCTTAAGAATAACCCATATATAATCCAAATAGTTAATGAAAATTACCTTGATTTTCCATGGATCATTTACAAATATCTTGTCATGTATTGCATAATTCTTTTCGATGGAAGGTAGTCCATTTAGCAGCAAGGCAAGAATGATGGTTGGCGGAGGCTATCAGATTTTGTGGTTAGGGTTTTCCATGGAACAAATTTGAGTGGGACACCATGGGAGAGTACGGGAGACCAACTTTATGTACTTTCGGTGGAGAATGAGGCGAGATTTAGAGTTAGGTGTGGGGATCGGGTAGTGGAGTCCTTAAGGGGAGTCTTATGTTGACCGATTCAACTGCTCTTTTTGAGCGATTCAATTGGCGAATTTGAAGATAATTTTTTGACATTTTCATTTTAGAGATAAGATTTAGTTTTTTTGTTGACCGATAAGATTTTCCATGCATAAAATTACTGTACATAATGTAAGGCTTGTACCTCTTAAAATTCAGCATTTGACCAAATTTGCATTATATATATATATATATATATATATATATATATATATATATAACTAAAGAAATTCATAATTTTTATCGTCTTTCCATTGATATCAATTTCGATATAATTTTATTATTATTTTTTTTTTATCTACACCGAATCTGTGCAGATTCACAATGTGAATCTGAAATAATAAAAAAGTAAAAAAAAATTATATCGAATTTGATATCAATGGAAAGAAGATAAAAAGTTATGAATTTAGATATTTTTGGATTTTTCTCCGATAAAGAATAAGCTCTAAAACTTAAAATATAATGGTTCCTTGGTTTTAAGATTTAAAATGATTCATTGTTGAAGTTATATATATATATATATATATATATATATATATATATATATATATATATATATATGCACCAGGAGTTTTAGAAATAATTGAAGTCATTAAAGTATCTAGGCCATTTATCTCACAGGTCATGAGTGACGAATCTCTAACGAAAAACCACGTGGTTTCTTATGTAAGTGAAACCGAAAAATGAGAGTAAATAATACTAGTGACGGGCTAGCACCTAGCAGAGGGGCGGCGTTGGGTCGTTAGCGATGGTCGGACAACGAACGACAAACAACGGAACTGGTGGCTGGATGAGAGCGATCATCAGTGCTATATCGTATGATCATTCAGAGATGTTGAGCACGCCTCAGCCGAAGCGACATTTCATATTTCAAGTCTTTTTTGCTATTTTTTCCTTTTTTTTAAAAATTTTAAATGGACTAGGCTATTGCCTAGTTATTACATTTTAAGTGTAAATTGAGGCATTAAACTATTTTAAGTGGACTGAAATATAAACTATAGGCTTCATACATTTGATCAATTTTCTATTTGGCAAAGTTTATAAGGTAAGTCCTTGAATTATCATAGTAGATAACATAAACAAGAAATTGAATCTTTGAATCGAATTTTGTACGCCACCAACATTTTTGTATTAATAGGTGAAAAACGTGAAGTCTCTTGGATTTTTCTTTTAACATAAATTGCCAAAGATTTGATTGTTTTCCTTTTGACATTTTTAATGTAAACTAGAAAGGTTACCCCCGCTACGTGAGGGCCAGAAGCTTTCAATGTTGTTTCCGAATTGATAAATATGACAGACATAGAAAGTGCAAGGATGAAAAGTCCGGACTTTGCCCCGGACAAAAAATGTAAAAGTTTTGACTGCAAGGACCAGAAGTGTGAAAATGGCTAAAGAATTAAAGGGGTAGGAATTATCAACTATTTAGAAAAGGGATCAAAGTTGTCAAACCGTTAAAGTTTTGTGGCCAAACTTTAAATATTAAAAGGTTCCAAAAAAGTGTAAAAATATTGCTTGCAAGGACCAAAAGTGTCAAAATGGGTAAAGAATAATGAGCAAAGTTGCCAAAAAACATCCAAATTTAGTATTCCTAACTTCCAACAATAATACAGGGACCAATTCTGCCAAAAAAATGGGAAGTTGAGTGGAACACAAACAAAAGGACATGAATAAATTAATTAAAGAAGTACAGGTACCGGAAATGTAATTCAAATGACCAAAGCTGGACAAAATGTGTCAAGTTAACTATTCATTTTTTCTCCACAACTTTAATATATATATATATATATATATATATATATATATATAAATAATAATAATAATAATAATAATAATGTATTACTCATTATTTCAAACAATATCTATCAATATAAAAAATAATAAAAATCAATAATCAATAATCTAACAGAACATCAAATATCAAATGCCTTTCTAAAAAATATCAAATTATCACATATTTCAAACCCTAACATCTTAAGTTCGTAATTGGAATTCAACTAAAACTGTTATACTTCTAAAAAACCAATACAAATATTCATTAAAGGTCTAAAATATGCTTGAGAAAAAAACATATCTGTCAATGGCGAGTCGGCACCGGAAAGCTCCAAACAACCAATTTGATTTGGTGGTTAAAATCGATCATGTTGTGCACTTATGGGCGTTGTGCTCTTTACTTATTAAATCTTATCAAATTTACCTCATGAGGCCGGAGGGATTGAGCCACTCTTGTCAAACCTTTTTCGTGTCACATAAGCGTCATCTTAATTTTACCATAAATTCATGGTTTCTTGTCACATACAATGAGTGGTCACTATGACATTATTTAAAAAAAAAACAATTCAATTTAAATAAAAAAACTTAAATTTCATTAATTTAAATTACAAATACGTAATAAGAAATTAAAAACTTAAAAACTTAAAAAAAACATAACATGAAATAAAAGACGTAAAAACTTAGAAAAAAAAATACATAACATGAGATTAAAAACTAAAACATGTTGAAAGAAGTCTTCATCCGAGAATTTGTCTTCCAAATCATCTACGGGATCCATGTTGAGATCAATGTTTTGGAACCCGTATATAGGGATAAATTTAAAAAAAAATTGAATTCAAAAAAAATGTCAAAAGCTTTAAGAGAGAGAGAGAGAGAGATGCACACGGCCTAAGGCCACACACCATAGACGGTGTGTGCCACAACTGAGGTGGCTAACCGCACCTCATACTGTAGCCACTCCTACCAGCATGAGGCTTTCAACACTTCATAAGTTTAGCGACGCCTATCTTTTGTATGGCGACCAAAAAGAAACTGCAACAAAGTAACACTTTTCAAGCTGGGTTGCAATATTTATTATTTTAACGTGAGGGAGTTTGGAAGAATAAACATAGAAGATAAAGTGGTTAAGTAAGTAATGATGCATGTATATGAATAATGTGATGTATACATGATATTTGTTTAGTTTCTAGAATGAAACCTTATGATTGAAACTTAAGAACCATTTTACCCTTATATTTTAATAATCAACTGTCACAATATTCATCAATTTTAATATGAGAGGAGTTAGGACAAAAATGACAAAAAGGTAAAAAAATTAGTGTCTTAATACATTAAGCCATGTTTTAGCTTAACCCGTTAAGCCATTCCGTTCGGATTTAATTAAAAAAAAACAACCATGTATAGTTGTCCACATTAAGTGCTTAACCCATTAAGTAAAAAAGAAACAACCACTAAGCCCTATTTTTTGAGTTAACCCATTATATCATTATGTCTAAGTTAAGTAAAAAAGAAGAATTCTTCGTATTTCCTACACTTTACTGAGGAAATTCCGAGAAAATATCATAAACATGTTTTTCTAGGAAGTCCCCGGAGATAACCAAACTACTTTAACAATAAGTTGCAAGATGCAGGTCTTGAAAATATTCAACATATTCAAAGATAGAGTAGACAAAAGTCTATGACTCATCTATACGATTAACTTTCATACATTCATGAGGGAAGTACCACATATTTTTTGTAGCAAAAAACATGTCTTTTCTAATGCCAGGGAAGCAATCATATATCTTAGCACACAGATCGAGTTTAACTGTAGCACCATAATTAACTGCTGTATCATTCCACAAGATGCTTAGAAAGAAAGCATATTCTTCTCCAATTGTCTTTTCTTCTTGCAACACCCATTTCATTTTTCCAAAATCTAGTTCCTGAACCCTGTACAGATCTTCATCTTCTTCTGGAATATGATCTATCACATAAAGCTTTTCACCCGCAAGACTTACAAACTTAGGATGGAAGAAGCATGGTTTCAAACAATTCTTGATTTTCAGTAATGTCAGTTTAGGGTGTTGTGGATTTAGGTTCATCTCACATAATCGGAAATCGTTGTTTAGAGCATATATCTTCCCCTTGAAAGCATGTAAATCAAGGATGGGGAAAGTGGAGGAGACATGATTCCATGATCCTTTACCATGTATAGAAAACCATATCTTATCTGAGAGTCTATATGTCATAACAAACACCCACCCACCCCCATATATTGAAGTAGGTGAAAAAACAAGAACACCCCTGACTCTTTCATCCATAAAACCAGCATCAAAGTCGGGGGGCACAAAGGAAATAAAGTTGATGCTTTGTGATAGAATTCACAAGCCAAAAGTCTTTTGTTTCCAACCCTAACAAGATCAAGTAACCACAAGTTAATCCAACACATTTTCTGTGAGCAGAATGGGGAAAGAGGGTTTTGAACTTTCTTCCTTCAAAGTCCTCTAGGTAGCACTCATTGATTTTATCAGGATGATATAGGACCCACATCAACATGGGTGGTCTGGATGCCATAAACATCTTCTTTTTAGAAACTGCAAATGACCTCCATGACTTGCAAACTTCACTAAATGCAACAAAATCAATGCATCCCAGTTGCATCATAACTTTAAACAGCACAGCATGCTCAAGGTCTGACCAAGATGTCGCGCCACCATTAATGTCACAAGTCTTGAACCTCTTCCTGTTAGATGCATCATCATGATTGTGAGTTCTGATCATACTCCTTGTCTTACCCATTCCTGACTTTAACATACAAAAGTAAATATTCAAGATCTTCGTAAATGCAAATTCCACCAATATAAGAGTTTATATTTCATGAATTCATTATTAATCTTCATGGATTTCTCTATATGGCATAACTAAACTCATGGAAACATGATAGTATAACCACGATCAACGTAGGATGGCCAAGCAATTCCACCTTTTCTTTGTGATAATGACGGAATGAAAAGTAATGTTACTGTTTTTTATTACAATAAACTGAAAGTAAAGTAAAAAAAAAAAAAAAAAAAAAAAAACACCATGCTCAAGTACCTATATCAATTCTAGAATCAAGAAAAGGTTTTTACAAGTACCATAAAAGAAAAATATTGAAAAGGTGTGATATTTAGGTAAATATATCAACTCTTACCACAACAAGAAATATAAGATTTAGGGACGACACCATTAGGGACGACACGAAGTTTTAGGGAAGACACTTGACAATACGCGTTTTTGTCGTCGCTAAAGACTCATGTCGTCGCTAATAAGAGCGTCGATAAAGGGTTTGATCGGCGATCCACGTGAATGCCTCTGCATCAATTTTTGTACATATGATTGCATCCTGATCCAACGGATGGGGTTAGCTACTGTTCACACCAATAGGGGCGACGCCATTTGTGACGACACTGTCGCCGCTAAAGGTCGCGAAAAAATGAGCGCGTGAATTTCCCTCCAAATTGTCGTCTCTAAAGGTTCAATAGCCGTCCCTAAAGGTGTCGCCCCTAAAGGGTTCCACCTTTTGTTCCTCACCAGGTCGCAGAACCTGATTACTTTTCATTTGTCTCTCATTTTTTCCGGCGACAATCAAGAAGCGTTTTCAGGCGAATTTCGGTGCATCCCACTTCTTCCGCGGAGGGATTTGCAGCTTCTCACCGGCGTTCCAGTTGCTCCACCAGCGACTATCACCACTGTAGCTCGCCACCGTCTCCGACGAACTTCTCCACCGGCGAAGGTGCGTTTCCTTTTCTCATTTCCACCGTCTTTTCT